TTTATTTATTTAAAAATAATATAAATTTATCTTTATAAATTAGTGTGATTCACATTTTTATATTTTATTTTTTTTATCATTTTTATAAAATTAATAATTTCAAAAATAAAAATATAAAAAGAAAAAAATACTTAATTGCTTTTAAATATAATCTTATTAGTCATTAAACGTCAAATAACAACCATTAATCATTATTTAATCAAACAGCTATATCAATCAAAATCCTTTATTTATAATCTACCACTCATTATTGCTATCAACTATCTACCACCCACTATTTACTATTTGTTAGGTTTTAATCACCATATAAAACATGCCCTTATATCCTTAAAGATGTAATAAATATATTTTTTTATAATTAATTTACATAAAAAATCATAAAAATTCACTTTTATTTTATACTACTGCTACATAAATAGTACTCCACATGTTTATTTTTAATAGATCTAGTTTGAAATTTTAATTTTTCAAACATGAATTCTAAATGAAAGTTAACAACTTATATTAACAACAATTCAAAATGTTTTTTTTTTTTCTTATATGAAGTTCTTGTTATGTATTTTAATTTAGTAAAAAAATTTTACTTATCATTTATATAATATGTTAAATTTTCATCTAAAATTCATATTTAAAAAGTCAAAAAATTAAATTAAATTTACTACAAATGATCAAAGGGAGTATTAAAATAAGCTAATAAAAAAGCTAATGAAAAACACAGATATAATATTCATGATTTAAATTAGAGTTAACTTTTAAATTTTAATACAGAAAATAAAATCATTAATCAATCATTAGCCTTAGAATGTTATAAGAGCATCTATAATGTGGAGACTCCTAAAGGAGTCTCTTCAATGCAACCTCAATTTTACCCATGTTATTTTATTTAACCCACTCTTGAGACACTCTTCACTTCTCAATATTGCAATTTACAAGAAACTCCTCAACAATTATACTAATATTAATTTATTCAACATATATCCTTAAATTCTTAGCATTATAGGGGATGAAAAAAAAATAAACCAATTGACCAAGAAAAAAAAATAAAAGCACTACATAGGCGACCATCTTCCCTAAGGGAGATGGTCTCTTAATTAACTTGAGATCGTACAACTGAGGGTCTCTAATTGGATGCATCTCCAATAATGTTGTATAATGGAGGTAATATACCCCATTAGAAAATCGTGCATTTGCCTAACCAAAAAACATTTATTGCCAATAATTATACTCTCTCCATTTATTTTTAGAAGTTCTAGTTTGACTTTTTGTCTTTTAAACATGAATTTTAAATAAAAATTTAATATATTATATAAATGATAATTAAAATTTTTTTGGATCAAATTAAAATTCTTAAAAAGACTTCATATGGAAAGAAAAAACTTTTCAATTGTTATTTATATAAATTATTAAATTTTTATTTAAAGTTTATATTTCTGTGTTGGGTTTGCTGTCCATAGTAAGGGATCACCATTTTTCAACACTTTTCGGTAAGAAATCAACCTTATTACTCATCTTTTCATCCTTAATTTGAATTGTGTTAACTCTAATCCTTTAGGGTTTTCAATTTTGGGATTTTTTTATAGTTTTCATCCTTGGTTTTGTCCTAGTGCTACCAGATCTGATTCCTTTTGCTAGAAATTCTGATAGTATGACCATTCAATAATGTTTTGCCCATAACTCTTTTTGTAGATATCTGATTGAGTTCATTTTTAATTCTATGGAAAGTTAGAGACAACCCTACAATTTTTATGTGGGACATTTAACCTAATAAAGTTGTTTTCATGGTAAAAACTCTACTACAAGTTCAATTCCCACAAGTGGTTAGAACTAGCGGCCCGACCCTAAGTTAGTATTTTGGCCATAACTTTCTCTATAGATGTCGAATTAAGGTGATTCTTAATCCTATAAAACGCTAAAACATAGGGTTACAATTTATCTGTTAACCATTCAACTTAGATCAGTCAATTTCTGGGCGTGAATTCTATTGAAACCTTTGGTTTAAAATTAGACCAGAACTTGCCCAAAAACTTGCTCTGTTTTCTGTTTTATTCCCACATTATCTACTGCCACATTGCATTATGGTTATAATAGATTTTTAGTTGCTATTTTCCTGCTTTAAAACCCCTTGTTATTGCTTTGTTTTGGCTGTCTTTTTGCTACTACATTTATGCTTAAATGCTGCACTGTTTTGCTACTATTTTACCTAAAAATCGCTGTTGTTTGTACCCATAACTATCTATTGTTTTTTCCTAGAAAATCCCTATTATTCAGGGCTTTTTCCAAGTATTTTGGAACTATTTTAAATAGAAAAAATCCCTACCTTACTGCCTAGCTTTTGTGCTGCTGCTTGGGGGTAGTTTTGAGCTTGGCTTCTCACATTTTTCCACTTTGTTTTGTCCAGCAAATCTGCCTAGTAAACCCACCATATGTAGGGTCTTTTGTTGCTATTTTAGGCATGTTTTGAATATGATTATGCATAGGAATATATATGCATATATTAATAGGGGTTTCAATGGGTAGAAGTGATCGCGATGTGTAGAAAGAAATCATTTCTTGGTTAGAAACTTGATACTAGGATTAAAAAGCCAATTTAGTTAAATGGGGTATGTTGTAGTCTTGTTTGTTCTTTTATGTGGCTTAGGTTCTAAATCACCTTCACCACCTTGAGATCTTGAATTCTTACTTTTTGTGTACCTATAAGTCGAGGTAAGTAAAATTATGGTAAGTGTCCTTGGATTTGATGGTAAAAGTTTTAAAAGCATATTTTAAATTGTTTTTGAGATGGTGGTAGGACCTAACCCAATTTTTTATTATCACCTAATCATGACTAATTTGAAATGAAAGTTGTTATTATTTTTATTGAGCTGAGCATGCCTACATGGAGTTTTCTTGTTTGTTCTAGAAATCTGAAATTGGTTTGTGAATTTTGAATTTTACTATTAACTCTTGCATGGTTTTGTCTCCAATATGGTCATGAATTCTATTATCCTACCAGTGGGAGTTAAACATTGGCACATGTCGACATGTATTTCTATAGGACTGATTCATCCAGCCAGTGGGAGAGTACACTAGTATCTCTGTTATCCAGCTAGTGGGAGAGTACACTGGTATTTTTGTTATTCAACCAGTTGGGAGAGTACACTGACCATGACTAATTAAGGGGACCACTAAATAAATTTTAGTATGCATAAATTATTTATAACTGATATTTTCTTCCTATTTAAATTTTAAATGTTTACTTGGCATGCTTCAAAATTTCAATGAGAGTTATCCATATTTTTACTTACTAAGTTATCTCACATAGTTTTTTTCCTTGTCCACCATTTCAGGTAGTGAGATATGAGACATGGGAAACCAAGGGGAGTGACGAGCTAGAAGGCAAGCCATTTGTATTTTGGATTTAGATTATTGTGGAGTTAGGCCACTAGTCACACATATTTTTTGACATAGATGATGGAAGATAGATCGTTCTTTTGTACACTAGATCCCCTTAAGATAGTTATGACTTTATTAACGGAGTTGTATAATTTTTGTATACTCTTAGCCTAGTTAAACGTTGGTTATCAAGCTAGATTTTATTATAAGATTGTGGATCTTAGTTTAATGGATTGCCAAATATGAATTAAGTAGGTTCCGAGCCTTGTGCATTTGTAGGATGCTCTTACAAGTGTACGGCGTCTATTTCGCTCTCAGTTTTAGAGCGTGACAATACATGCAAGGAAGCTTGGTTAATTTGGGTTAAGGTGTTGTCTAGGCGGTGTATTGAGGTTGTGATGCCGAATACAGTGGAGGGGGTGATGGAATTTTTCTTATATGAGTTGGGAAGTGTGGTAGCGAGGGAATTGGGGGCATGTCTTTTTCTTGTTGGTTCCTGGTATATTTGGTTTTGGAGGGATATTAGAGTTTTTCAAAACAAAGGGTGGTGTAGGGAAGGTTTGCTAGATATGATTCAATCTAAGATTTTTTTTGGACTAAAAATAAGGTGGATGGATGTATTTTCTCTATTTTTGATTGGAGGGTTAATCCAATTGAATGTGCTGCAGTTATAAGAAAGCATAAAAGGATGTTGAAGGCGTTTCATAAGCATCACAATGGGGCACATGTTGAGCAAAGGATGAATTTGTTTTCAATGGT